ATTTTATCTTAAAACTACCTAGAGGTTAAGAAGATATGAAAATTTAGGAGAGGCATACAGTGGGTTATTTTCTATTAGTCGTTCATTAATACGGAGCCACATGGATACGAATATGGAAACATATAAAGAGAGAGGGAATAAGACATACGAAGAACTGTTGAATAACGATATAGAATTTTCACACTTTAATAGTCGAAAATGTTCTCAAAATAAACAGAATACAACTTATATTTTTGTTAAATAGAGATATTAATGCCCGTTCAGCAAAAGCCACCAAGCAGTCTAATTTCATTTGTTGAATGCTTTCACTGTCCCGCTTTACCATGTTACCTATTTCTATTGTTCTTAGGCCAAGTATATGCTTTAGGAAGTTATATGCCAGCTTTGGATTTGCATTGTCCGCTGAAGAACAACTATCTGAAGCGCTGGTTCCTATCGCAGTGAGCAGTTGTCTGCAGTGGTTTAGACAAGCTTTCGACTCGCTAAATCAAGTAAGACCACGTTATAATCTTCTGAATTTCGGTTTTCAAATGAAGCTTTTTTAAACTGACTCTTAAAGCTAATCAACTTGCGCTTTACTTGCTCACTAACAAGCATAAAATCTACTTATGATGTTAAACAAGATTAAACTCTATTCTCATTATGGCGTATATCTTTTTACATCCTTAGCCTTCCGAGCTACACGAATTCATCAGGGATCACGTGGAACTTCTTTGCAACCTAATGACGCTGGATCGCCGGCGACACAACTGTCAATCCAATTTTGTAAGTTTGGCAGTTTCGCTCGTCTGCTCGATATCTCCACTCTATCTGCTACCCCAGGGCCCCTCCGATAGCAGGTCCTTCATTGATGAAACAGATTGCCTAGACACAGATCCTGGCGTCGGTGTTGAAGCTACTCCGGACTCCGATCTCATTCTTCTCAACGACAGCCGTCGACTTAAAATTGCCTCCTCCGCTCTCTGTCGGTTCTCACAGGCCCTGGTCCACACATACCGCTGGCTACCGATGCTCCAAGAGCAATCGGATCTTAGTTTGGCTTGCAGCTGGGGACCAGCGATCATGGCTGAGTGGATGGACTCTAAGGTTGTCAATTTGAATGAGACACTTGCTCATACCGATTCGCCAGAAGCTGACTTCGCTGGCCTCGACAAGACAGCCATGTCGGGGGCTTCAGAATGGTATCGTTTGATAGCACACACTGGGCAATAAAATCACACAAGCACATGCATATACTAAGCAAGAAGGCTGGTTTTATGAATTCTGATGATGCCAAAATTAGGTAGTATGAGTAGCGCTAGAGTCTGTCTTTTGAACGGCCAGTAAAGAAAGTATATAAAGAACAGAAGTGGTTTGACCTGGTTATGCGCCTTATTCGTGACCACGCTAAAGGTCACATCATCTTGGTCGTCTAATCTTCCACTAGGAATTTTATGAGTTTAAGCGTGTTCCCCTTTGACTTTTAATCTTGTAATTGCAGCACTCGAAGGGCTTCGCTGATTTGGGACTTAAGAATTAAGGCTCTATCTAAGATATTTCTATTTTTTCGGTTGCTGCATACTTTGCTTGAGAATGCCATCGTAATCGCATGCTCGCTTAATTGGTACCATTGCAAATCGTAAAGTTCTTACCTCAGCCACCTTCTACTACTTTCGTGAGTCGTTTTTGAGCCTCTTTTTGTCAGCAATTGCTTCCAACGGCAAACCGAACAGCTATGAGCAGTCTCCTTTTTGTTGACATCCCTGCATTTCTTTCTAACAAACAGCAAAGTTAATAAAACGGATACAATTATTTAGGTGACGTCTTTACTTTATAAAATAGTATCCTGGCTTAAATTGTCTTCGGCCACCTAGGCCCTTCATTTGCATTAAATATTCGGATTCATCAAGTGACCTCACTGGAGACTCCAGGAAAACCTCTCTGAGAAAAGTTGTTTGAGTGTAAAAGTCCTCGGCGTACCATCCTCCGTTACCGATATATCCAAGCTGAACTTGCGTGTCTCCCGGTACCTTAGGAACCCGATGATTTTCTCCTTGTTCTGAATTGTTTGCGAACAAGTGAAGTTGACGCGCAAGTGCTGAAGCATCCATTTCCTTCCTCTGCTCTACTTCGTTATACACTTTCAACTTCGTGTGAAAGGTCAAATGAATGGTACTTTCAAATCGGCTGCAATCTAAAAGTCAAAGCAAGACTGCCCTGAAATTGTGACTGTCAAGCTGAACGACCCCAATGCATCTGTGCTGTTCTGTAGACTGTTTTGTTCTGATAAACATCTTACACAAGATGGCCAAAAATAAAATGCTGGTTGGTTGCGATTTTATAAACCTTTTTAGCACCGAAATTTAAATGGAGGTTGAACTTCAGACAGCCTTGATTTCTGTACACAGAGACATTTTAAAGTGAGCTATTGGCCAGATAACTCCTGGTGCATAGATCTTTGGGTCACTTCCACAATTACTCAACCACATGAGCACAAAATCTCATAACACTTTAGTCCT